GCATCTTGTACAGCAATTAACCACTAAGAAGAATATATGCAGTGTATTATTTGTTGAAACTGTACTTCCGATTTGATTTGAAACTGTCTCATTGCTACCTGTTTATCAATAAAACTTTGAAAAAAAATAAAAAAAATAAAAACAGTACAAATCGAATGATCCAATAATATTCTGAATTTTGAATTCCATGTCCAAATTATCACTTCAAAATATACTAAAACAAACATATTTCCAACAAGCAAGAGATCAGGAAATATCCCAGGCATTCAATTTTCTTTCTGGAACAATTATTAGTTTACAATATACTCCAGAAAAAAAAACAAAATAGGAGACTTGAAGTCACAGTATTCAAGAATCAGAAGTCAGCAAAGAAATCATAATGCAATTCAAGTAATTGCTATTAAATAAAACCTGACAAAAATGTTAAGAATTAAAGCCTTGATAAAAAGACACGGAATGAACTCAGGTTTAATGTCAATGATACTTAGAATTTTAAGGTTTGAACGACTTTCATTAAATCTGCTTGTAAAAGAGTGAAAGATATATAGTGTACACTATCATCCGAAACATGAAACTTCAGAATTAATAAGGGACAAATGGGTCTTCCTTCATATAATTACTATTAAGATAGTTATATTTTGCAGGGCTGGGGAGAGGCCTGAGTTCAATCCCCAGTTCTGCCAAAAACAAAAAGTTAAGTTTTGAATAAAGTTCAAAGATAAACAGCAAACTTAAAGGAAACAGGGCCTGGGCTCAGTGAAATAAGCACCTGCCTGGCAAGTTCAAGGTCCTGAGTTCGACCCCACTACCAGAAAGAAAGAAAGAAAGAAAGAAAGAAAGAAAGAAAGAAAGAAAGAAAGAAAGAAAGAAAGAAAGAAAGAAAGAAAGAAAGAAAGAAACTTAATGGAAATATTTGTGATCTGTATGGCAGACAAAATGTGGCTGTCCCTCTGACTTCTAAAAAGTGAAAAAGGAAAAAGCAGCAAAGGAAAATGAACAGAGATGATCAGCAGCTGTGATTGACCCATGAGACAGCAGAGAGGGAAGAAGGGCATCCCTGAATGCAGGTGGCACCATCAATAGGTTAGGGATCTGGATGGAGCCAAGGCCAATGGGGCAGCTGCTTGTCCCATCTCCCAGTTGGCATTAAGTCAGTAGCTTTCGTTCACCATATATTTTCACTATGGTGCTCCTGCCTTTTCACAAGCCTGAAAGGAGTTCAACCAGCTGACCATGAGTTGAGACCTCCAAAACCATAAGCCAAAACACAGGACTCTTCCTTAAAAGTTGTTTTTGTCAGGGTGTTTTTCACAACCACAAAAAGCTAAATAACACAGATAAAACTCATAAAATACAAACAATGGTATTTCAAATTACAATACTCATGAATATAGGAGAAGATAATAAAATTAAAATAAAGACAGCAAAGCAACATCTTTAGCACTGTGGAAAAAAAAAAAAGACTTAACCTCAAACGCAAGAATAGTAGGAACCAAGCATAGTTTGTTCCAAAGCTCAATCTTTCCTTTCACTTGGTCAACTTGAGAGAAGCAAGAAAAAGCTGCACAAGGTCTTAATATGAAAGCAGTGTGTTTGTGTGAGATCAGAGCTTCTCGGTTTTCTAGCTGCAAATGTTTGGAGCTGGGCAATCTTTCATTGTTGAGTGTTGTTCTGCGCCTTGTTGCTTAGCAGCAACCATGCTAAGCACTAGAGGTGGCTGTTACCAAGCCACCCTTAGGTACCATTTCATACACAGTCCCAGAAGTTACAACTACCGGGAATGTCTGCAGATATTGGCAAATTGGCCTTAGGGACAACCATAGGTGGAGAGAAGGGATAAACAGCAATTGCTTTCTGCAAGCCTGCATCATAAAATAAAAATAAAAGTTACCAATTTCAAAGCCTCCATCAATTAAGCCAGAAATAGAAGAGGATATGCTGAATCTCCTTTCTATTTGAGTGAGCAAAGTTTTCATGATGATGCCACTCAGCGTCTTGCAAATAAAGCTAAATGACAGAGCTGCCAAGAATATCTAGGAAAAAGGAGGAGGAGAGGGGAGATTATTAATTAGAAGACCAGATCATGGATATATGCACATTAGAAATTTTATTTGGTACTTTAAAACATTATTTTTAACATGCAAATAAACTTATCTTTCTCTTTTAATGTTACCATTGCTATAGAGATAAACTTTCAATTCATTTTTCTTTTTTATTGCATAAAATATCAAACAAAATTTCACTAAAAATAAGAGGTTAACAAGAGTTAATTCACTGTGTATTGTTGTCTTGGAAGAAACAAACATCAACAAACTGGATTCTGTCTTACAGAGCAGAAGCTAACAGATATTAATACAAAACTTTCTTTGCATTAAACTAAGAAAAGCTAGTAATACAAATAAAACAAGTTAGCATATATAATAAAGTATTTTGAAGCAATGGAATAATTTGGAGAATCCTTTGAACCTCTCCCCACATCCTGTTAATCAATATTCCATTTTGCTCTTGAATACATATACTTTGAGTTTTTCACATAAGAAAAGTCATGAGATATTTTAATTTCTATGTCCAACTTGACTGATTTAGCATTATTTTCAGGTTGCATCCATGCAACAATTGTGGACCAGCAAATTCCACAAGTTTATCTTTCTGTATGTCAGAGCAGTATTTCATTCTGTATAAATACATTTTCCTTACCCATTCATCTCCTGGTGGAGATACATGCACTTTCCAAAATTTACCTGCCATAAATATGGGTATGCATGTAGCTCTCTAATATTGATCATTTTACCTCTTTTGGGAAGGTACCTAGAAGGGGATAGCTGAGTGAAATGGAATTTCTATTTTTCATTTTTTGAGGAATCTGATTTTTGCTGGCAGCATCAGATTATTATATTAATGAAGCTAAGGTTTTTGTTTTTAATTAGTGTCATCAATTGATTCATAAGATGCAAGACAGTGCTCTCTGTTGGCCATGGTGGTCAGCTGTTTATTTCCAGGTGGATATCCTAGCCTAACCGAAGTCTGCAGCAGAACATTCCCAAGGGTAGCCTTTCCAGAAAGCCAGCTAAAACACAGAAGTTTGAAGTGGCCAAGGGAAATTCTACCATCAATACACCTGACTGACAATGATTCTGTTGCGCAGTGGTTATTTGAACAACATTTATTGACACCCACAAGCAAGTTCCTTTTGCTGTTTTATTAAAACACGACTATGGTAGAACACATGTTTGTGTGTCCCTAGTGCCATATGTTGAAACTTTAATTCCCCAGGGTAGAGTACCTAGAGCTACAGCCTTTCAGAGATTATCAGATAACAATGGTTGAGGCCCTGTGGCCTAGTTAGTGCCTCCGTAGTAAGAAATGCCATATAAGGATACAGCATAAAGATAGCCACCTTGGCTTTGAGAAAAAGTCTCTTACTAGAAGCCAACAGTGCTGTTACCTTGGTCACAGACTTCTGGACTCCAGACATGTGCTCTCTGTGGAATTCCATTGTCTGAACTAAGAGTAAGAGTGCCAGGTCATTACCTCCTGTGCTACCAGCAGCCTCCACTATCAAGGCTACCCTTGCTTCTTATAATGCCCCTGATGCACCATTCTGTTTATGCTCCTGTCCACTTGGTAGCTAGAAAAACCCTTCCAAAAGGAATATCAGGTCATGCTCCTCTGCTGGTTAATCAGATTTATAGCTTCTAGTCTTTCCATTGACCTTAAAAAGCCTCCACGATCCCTCTTGAATCCTAAGTCTTAACAGGGAAAGCTCTTCTTTCTATCAACTACTTCTTACTGAATTCCTTTATCCTTGATGTGTTTGCTCAAAGTTTTACTTTCATTAAAAAAGATGTTCCTGTCCAATACATTTTAAATGGTCCTTTTCACTCACATTATTCTTTATTTTTTATGTGTCTGTTGTATGTTGCCTGCACTAGAATCTGAACTTTATCAGGGCAGCGGTTGATTTAACTGCAATGCTTAGAACAATTCATGGTGGAAAGAAGTGGAATCCACAGTGTGTCTTATATTGTTCAGCATTTCTGAGTGATAGATAAAGGCCCAACAAAACTCTTCCACAAATGGTAAGATATGTTTATTCCTATAAGGAGCTGTCAATTTATATTCATTGTTAATGAAGAAGAAAACATTGAGAAGGGCTGTCAATAGAACTTATTAGAGATAACGAATAATTTTTATAGGAAATCACATAAAAATGGAACGCAAAAAGTGAAAAGATGTCAGAAATAGTTATCTTAATGTTGACGGTGGGAAGAACAATACTTATGGGAGAAAGGTATTAACTGATAGAAGGGAGTTGGAAAAAAAAATTACAAAAATGTTCCTTAAGGAGAATTGTTTCAGACGTCTTGTAGGAATGTATCTTTGCAACACAATAGTTAATAATGATTGTTTATGGCATAATCATTTCAAAACTAACTTTGTTACTCTATGAAAAAAAAAAAATGCATGGTGGGAGATGGAATGACATCAGCAAGATGGCAGAAGAAGCAGCCCTGAACCTGGTGGCCCTCCAAGACTCAGAGTTAGCAAGTGGACCAGATGCCCCTGTGAGAACATCAGAAACAAATTAGTACAGGCTTCCCACGCCTCGGGTTGGTACAGTTACAAGCACGTGGAAGTCTCGAAGGAAATTTCTTGATTCTCTTCACTGTCACCAGAACCCATGTCACTTCCTTCTGCACAGCGCAGATGAGAGGAGTACGAAGATCTCTTATGTTTCATGCTCTCTAGCCAAGAGCCAGTTTCTATCTTTTTTGTATCAATATACCGATAGGAACAGGCACCACCTCGGGTAAGAGTGGGGTCTCAGAACAAAGATAACTAAAAATGCGCATCATCTTGCAGTACTAAAGCAAGGCAACAGGTGGCGCTCCAGCAGCACAATTTGCTTTGCCACTTTCCTAAGTCTTACCAGAGATAAAAATGCGAGAATCTCAAACAACCTTGTAGCTAGGATCACCCCAAAAAGACCTGGTCGGTGACACAATTTAATCAAATCATCAAAATTTGGAGCAAAGAGACAAGGAATCCCGAAATTAAGAGGCCACTCAAAAGTAAAATGAAGCTATTGCTAGACCATGGATTATTAATGATTGGATTTTCGTCATAGAAACAACAGATACTTAGCTCAGCGGATTAAAGCGCCTGCAAGTAGGCTCAGGGGCTGGCGTTTGATCCCCAGGCCTACCGTGCGGGGGGTGGGGGTGCCCTGAGACAGCAATTGAAACTGGGTGTGTTTGCATGCACCTGTAATCCCAGCTCTTGGGAGGCTGTAAACAGGTGGATCACTATGAGCCCAGTCTAGAAGTGAGACCCTGAACACGCTGTAGACCCTTCCTTAAAATACAAAAAAGAAAAGAAAAGAGAAAAAGGAACCATGGAAACTACAAGGGAGTGAGATGATAAACTCAACATACTGCAAGACAATAATTGCTAATCAAGCACACTGTATTCACCAAAATGACATTTAAAATGATGGAGAAATCAAGCGTTTCCTTATTACCATTATCAGCTGCAGATCACCAGGAGGTCCACCCGCTCCCACGAAATGTGGACGGCAGAAGAGAGATTTGTAAGTTGCAGCAAATGGATGATAAGCAATGACACAATTTGAAAATGCACAAATCCTCAAACAAAAATAAATCTGTAAACAAATATAGAATCTTACATTTTTAATATATCTAAGTCACTTCTACATCTTGTATAGAGTGTTTTAAAAGCATAGAGTAACTATTCATGTTCATTAAGGGCTATGCAAAAAGAAGTAATTCGTACCACATCAACAAAGTGGAAAGGAACAAATGTAAAGTAGAAGAATTATTGCAGGGGCCAGAGTTCAAACACTGGAGCCTGCAGTGCCACTCCTGCCCCCAGTGCACGCTGAGACGGGAATTGAGACTGGGCGTGGTGGCATGGGCATGTAATCCCAGCTCTTGGGAGCCTAAACAGGGAGATCACTATGAGTCTGATCTACGTAGTGAGACCCTGTAGACCCTTCCCTAAGAAAAAAAAATAGTAGAATTATTACACACAATGAAATTTTTCATCAAGTTAAGAGGTTTTATAACTAGGATTCTTATTGCAATAATAACAAAGACAACACAGAATGTACATTAAGGGAAATGTGCATGAAATAAAAGCATGTCCCCCCAAAAATTAAGAAAATTCAAGTGAAAGACAAGAAGAAAGGAAAAGTGGGACAAAGCGCTACAACAGAGAAAGATAGTTTTAAAAAATGGCAAAAGTTTATCCTTGCCTGGGACTCTTTAACAAAGATACACAAATGTTTATTGTGTTGGTATAGAAAGACCTTACCTGAAAATGAGAAAGGCTGTTTATGACAAACCAATAGCCAGCACCATATTAAGTGGGAAAAAAAATACAAAGGCATTCCACCTAAAGTCAGGAACAAAACAAGGATGTCCACAAAGTACCAAGTCTTTCCTTCAACTTAGTAATTGAAACATTAGACAGACAAATTAGGCAAAAGAAGGAAATACAAAGGACACAAAAAGGAAAAGAAGAACTCAAATTATCATTGCTTGACGATGACATGATACTATACACAGAGACCCAAATAACTGCAATAACTAAAAACCACATGATCATCTCAATTGATGCAGAAAAGGCTTCTGATAAAGTCCAACACTCATTCATGTCCAAAGTCCTACAGAAAATTGGAATAGATGGCCTCTACTTCAATTTGGTAAAAGCCATTTATGAAAACCCAACAGCTAACATAATCCTAAATGGGGAAAAACTGAAATCTTTTACTCTTACATCTGGTACAACACAAGGATGTCCTCTATCACCACTCCTATTCAATATAGTTTCGGAATCATTAGCTAGAGCCATTAGACAAGAGAAAGAAATAAAAGGAATAAGAATAGGTAAAGAAGAAGTTAAATTATAGTAGTTTCATGTTTGGAGTGCCTGTCATTCTGGAATTCTGAATATGGGCTGCTTGTTATGACATGCCAGTTGCTGCTATGA